AGGACGTCTAATGATGAGGAGTACAGGAATTCTAGTCCAGCATCTGGAGGGCCACATAAAATAACATGGTGGTCCAGATTATGATGGAAACTTCTCTCCAATATCTTTGTGTGTGTGTGTGTGTGTGGTATGTGTTTTTTTAAGCATATAGCTTGCTGGAAGAATTCTACCATTAGGCAACTTTAGTAACGGTCCATGTTACTAACGAGAACTTTGGACCAACCAGGTCTCTGTGCTACAGGCCTGATTGGGATGCTCCTCTACAATTATGCCCTGAGTGACAGTTGTTATCCCATTCACCAACCTAGAATTAAGCAGTGGTATTTTCAACCCAAGGGTATGATGAAATTTTCCCTTCTATGGGCAACTTTTGGGGTTTTTTTTAGTGTTTATTTATTTATTTATATACCATATTTGTGCCTTGCCCTTCTCAACTCTGAAGGGGACTGTGTGGCCTTACAATAGGCAAGAATTTGATTAATTCTTTCTGTGCATATCTATTGGAATTTTTTTCTTTGCTTTCTTTGATACTCAAGGATTTCTCTCTTCTTCAGTTTGTTATCCCCAGTCCTCATGGTGGATAATCAAATGTGAGTTATTACTCAATAATATCTGGGGACCCAAAATTAGTAAAAGTTAAAGAATTGTTGTTGTTCATTCATTCAATTGCTTCTGACTCTTTGTGACCTCATGGACCATCCCACCCCAGAGCGCCATGTCAGCCGTCACCACCCCCAGTTCCTTCAGAGTCAAGCCAGTCACTTCAAGGATACCATCCATCCATCTTGCCCTTGGTTGGCCCCTCTTCCTTTTTCCTTCCATTTCCCCTAGAATCATTGTCTTTTCTAAGCTTTCCTTTCTTCTCATGATGTGGCCAAAGTACTTCATCTTGGCCTCTAATATCCTTCCCTGCAATGAGCAGTCGGGCTTTATTTCTTGAAGTATGGATTGGTTGGGTCTTCTCACGGTCCAAGGCACTCTCAGAACTTTCCTCCAACACCACAGTTCAAAAGCATCTATTTTCCTTTGCTCAGCCTTCCCTCTGGTCCAGCTCTCACATCCGTAGGTGACTACGGGGAATACCATTGCTTTGACTATTCGGATCTTTGCTGCCAGTGTGATGTCTCTACTCTTCACTATTTTATCGAGATTGGACATTGCTCTTCTCCCAAGAAATAAGCGTCTTCTGATTTCCTGGCTGCAGTCTGCGTCTGCAGTAATCTTTGAACCTAGAAATACAAAGTCTGTCACTGCCTCCGCGTTTTCTCCCTCTGTTTGCCAGTTATCAATCATTCTTGTTGCCATAATCTTGGTTTTTTTGATGTTTAACTGCAATCTAGCTTTTGCAGTTTCTTCTTTACCTTGATTAGAAGGCTCCTCATCTCCTCCTCGCTTTTGGCCATCAAAGTTGTATCATTTGCATATCTAAGGTTGTTAATGTTTCTTCCAGCAATTTTTACCCCAGCCTTGCATTCATCAAGCCCCGCACATCGCATGATGTGTTACGCATACAAGTTGAAGAGGTTGGGTGAGAGTATACAACCCTGCCATATGCCTTTTCCAATCTTGAACCAGTTTGTTGTTCCATGGTCAGCTCTTACTGTTGCTACTTGGTCCTTATACAGATTCCTCATGAGAGAGATGAGATGATTTGGTATCCCCATATCACCAAGAACTAGGTTGGGTGAGAGTATACAATCCTGCTGTACGCCTTTCCCAATCTTGAATCTTTTCCCAACTTCAGAGCAACAAGTGCTTTTGGGTTGCACTCCATATTATCCAGTCCTCATGGTGGATAATCAAATGTGAGTTATTACTCAATAACATCTGGGGACCCAAAATGAGTAAAAGTTAAAAAATACTAACAATTATATAAAAAATCAGAGTTCGCTCCATATCCATGAATTCTCTGTCCATGGATTCAACGACCCTTTGAAGGCTGATGTGACCTTTGATCAACATGAGTTTGAAGAAAAGAACGTTAGAAGCACTAGGAATATTATTCATTGATATGTTGCAATTCTTAACTTTCCTTTCTATTTATCCAATCTTCCCTTTCTTCACTCAACTCTGGAAGCATTTTTTAAAGCATTATGATAGATTTTTAAACATCTGCTGCAGCTAGAGGCTTCTAATACAGTGACTCTCTGACCTCACAGTGTGCGAGGCTAGGTGTCAAAAGTAAGCAAAACATCAAACAGTTAAATAATGTACAAAACAACAGTACAGATAAATGTGAAACAATCTGTCCAAATTTACTTTCGAAGGGGTTAGCAAGTAGAAGAACACTAAGGCCAAATATTTCTCCTTCCCTGAGGTTTTAGTGCTACTTGTAAGAATTCTAAATGCACATGGAATACGGAATGGGAGAGAAGGAACAAACTGGGGAATGGATTTCAGTAATGTAGATTTGCTCTTCTTTTCTATGGACTTACAACTATATTCTGAAGTTGTTATATTGGAAATTCTTACATCACCTATATCTCTTCTTATCTCACAATATGGATTGCTAACAGAGATTGGTTCTACACAGACAAATAATGTGGGCTGGAACTAGTATCAAAAATGCTGGTTATAACCAAATTGTTACCTGACAGGGATGTCCTGGACCGCCTTGGCACTGGGAGTTCATCCCTACTGCTCAGCTGCACTAAAGCCAGTTTGGCACCAATGGGTAGAGACCCAACTGCCACCCTTCCTTTCTTGTCTCTGCCAGCTACAGTGGTGACACTGAGGGAAAGGACAGGAGCCAGGGGATTGTGGGGTGGCTGTTGGGACAACCGCATCTAGTTCCGTCTTTACAGCCAGAACTCAGGGAATAGCCCAAATCCTGATGCAGGATTTGGGCTTTCAAATGAGATATTTTAACTCTGTGCTGATGCATTTTGTGACCTTTCCTGGGTTAAACCAAATCATCCTGCATACATTTTGTGGCTGTCAGCCGGTTGATCCTCCCTCACACCTAAATGGTCAATGTAGGTATGCCCAAAGCCAATAGGAAGGATATTTATAGAAAATGAGGTGCAGAAAAGTTGCCATGGGGATCACAAAAAACAAAAAAAACAAAAGGGATTCAGAAAGATTTGTGGAATAGGGAATGGCGGGGTACTCAAAATCTATGGCAATAAAGACAAATAATAATAATAATAATAATAATAATAATAATACTTTATTTATACCCCACCACCATCTCCCCAAGGGACTCGGAGTGGCTTACATGAAGCCAAGCCCAATAATGCATCACAACAGAAAAGCAATAACAACAGTGCAAAGCAGTACAAAATAATATGAATCACATATAACAATAGCACACAGAATTTAAAAGCTTATGGCCAGGCCAGATGTAATTATTTAAAATTTAAAAAATAATGCTGGGTATGACAAGATAGGCTATATCTTGTAGGAGGGTTTTTAAAAAAGTGAGGGGTACAGTCCAGCACAACCCAATGGTTAAAGTGCATTTGTAAGGACATTTTGCTGGGAGTTGTTCCTTTATTCTGGGAAGGCACACTGGAATAGCCACGTTTTCAGGCTCTTCTTAAAGACTGCCAATGTTGGGGCATGCCTGATATCCTTTGGAAGTGAGTTCCAGAATCGGGGGGCCACCACCGAGTAGGCCCTCTCCCTCGTCCCCACCAATTGCGCCTGCGAGGGAGGTGGGAGCGCGAGCAGGACCTCTCCGAATGATCGAAGAGATCATGTGGCTTCGTACACAGAATTGCAGTCAAGTAGATAAAACCATTCAGGGCTTTGTAGGTAAGAACCTGCACCTTGAATTAAGACCGGAAGATGAACGGCAGCCAATGTAGCTCCTTAAACAGGGGGGTTGACCGCTCCCTGTAAGTTGCACGAGTTAGTAACCTGGAATCAATAGAAGGGAATGTGTAGAGAAAGCAGAGGAGAAAGGGGTGCAGAGAAAGTGAGGGGAAAGGGGTCAGACATGCTTATAGGGAGGAAGCTATAGGGAAAATGCTTTTATGTAGTTAATATGTAGGTATGGCCCTTCTCCATTAATCAGAATGTAAATGTGCCTGTTGCAGTGATGAGTTGTGCAGTCCTGTTTGAGAGCATTGGGGCATTAAATTTCAAAAAAGATTTATTTTTATAGTGTCTGTCTTCATTCACTTCCTTGATACCTCTCTAATAAAAGTCTTTTCTGGCAGAAAGTTGCTCTTAAATGCTGTCACTGCTCTTCCTATCTTGCCCTGGGAGTTTAAAAAATCTGCCCCCAGTATACAAGAGGGCACACAGTCAAACAGTAATCCTATCATTTTACCCCATTTACTTAATCTCTGTTGAGAATTTAAACCCAGAATCTTTGTACCAGAACTAAGCAGAATATGACTAAGTTAATGTTTCACCAGAATCAAATGCACATGCAGAATACTTCAAGTGTTGTATAGATTCTGAGTTAACGTACTGAATTGCTAAGAAGCAAAAGGATATATGTGAGATCATGTTGAAACTGTGATAAATTATCAAGCTTCTTGTCTTATTTTCTTTTCTGCATTTTTAAACAGGATAATGTTTTCAGTTGCCGCTACCCTCTCGAGAGCTGAGATTGGAAAATACAAAGATGTAATGCTATTAAGGGTTGGGGAGAAAAAGAGCAGATACGTGATATGATATTTATTTAGAAAACAGGTCTACCCCTTTGGTTCAGGTCATCAAAGGTTCAACAAATGTCAGGAGAGGAAACCATAATAGGAGTGAAAGAATTATTTTCAAGACTAACATTGTGTGAAGAATGATTTTGGGGAAAATATCCAATTTTTGTAACCTTCAGCCTTGAAACATAATGACATTAAGGGGGAATAGAGAATCTGCAGTGGATTTTTAGCTGTAAAGTTCAGAGTATCAGACTACTCTAAAAGCAGACAGTAACAAAGAACTATAATTGAAAGAGAAAGTTCAGACGGCCTCACTGGCAAGTTTAGAATACAATATCCCTCCAGAGAACTAGCGTAAATGAGTAATTTGTCTGCTTGTTGGTTTAACAGACGTTATCACAGGTAACTCTGCTCATGAGAGTTGGCTACATTATCCTGACATTGACCTCCATTGGCTTCCTGATGGAGCAAAGGTAAGTAATTGAGCAATTCCTTTCTGTATCCCTTCAGTAGAAAGCAAAAAAATAGACTAGCAAAATTGTCTGTTACGATGTTGACCTTACACAAGGGAACAGATGCCAAAATGACACACACACTTTTCAGAAATATTACTGTCTTCATACCCTTCAAAACTGTATTAATGCTCATGGTGAAGAGATCTTGGTTATTGTAGATTTGATGAATTCTAAAGGGTCAACGTTAGACCCTACTACTTCCAAAAATGGTCGTTTCCCCCCTCTCCAGTCTGGAACAACAACGTTGTGCTGAAATTTAGTTAAATCACACTTGCTATGCAGCGTTCTCCTTCCTACAGGAACATATCAATTGCAGGCTGATTATAATGCTAATGGCACTTTCATCTAGTATGGTGGAAGAAGTCATGTTGATTACTAAAAATTGCCAAAGGCTTGCTTTCTCTCTTCATGATTGGATGTCCCTGATGACCCAGCTTAAACAATGAGAGAGAGAGAAGAATAGCTTATGTGTATGGCTATTTTGTTCAACACATGGAAATGATTTCTTTGTAATGATGTTTGCATTTTTCTCATAATTTTCAAGGTGAAATATCTGAACTGGCCACTTGGGGGAATCAACAGTCATTTTAATGTGTTTGCCCCTCAATGGAGTCATAGTAACATCAATGACAGTTTGACAGTGATCAGTAACTCATTCAATTACTTTTCAGACTGCAATGTAGTAAGAAGTAATGGACCTATGGTATTATCTGAGTAATGACTAAAATAACTAGCTTCTTTAAAGAGTAATAATTTTTCCTAGAATTCCAAGGAACAAAGCAGTGATCACATTCCTTCCAAATAAAAGACTATTCCTTAAATAATCTATGCCCTATAGATTGGGTTCTTTTACCTTTCCATTCCATTTGAGTTAAAAACAACTAAACTCACTGGAGAAAGCGGCCTGGTTTTCCATTTAAAATAAGCAAAAAATAAGCCAAAAACAGAATGAATTAATGAATGAAAAACTAAACACAATCTAGACAAATAAAAACATGTTATAAATGTAAATGTTAATGCAAATTAAATCTAACATTTCTTAAAATATTTAAAGGGAAAGGAAATGGGAAATGGGAAATAAATTGAATACATTTATTTCATTGCACAGAGGAAATACAAGAATAGAGTATTTTGGGCTTCTCAATTGCATTATTTTACTATCGCAACATAATGCATTTGAGACCAATGAGTGGCAGTCCACAAAAATGTAGGTTAGATGAAAATTTTTGGTTTTTAAGGTGTTCTTATTTTATCTAGCATAATTAAATTTTAATGTATTGCAAAATTATTTGTATAAATGAGATTTTTTATAAATAATTGAGGTTCTGCATTGGGGGAAGAACATAACACATATTCTCTGGAACATTTTTTTCAGTCTCATATATAGTTTCCTTGTGGAGAGAAAAAGCAGGATATAAATAAACATAAACATAATAATAAGTATAAACAGGTAGGATTATGACTATAACAGTCTTAAACTGTAGCTTTGACATACTGACAAAATGGTTTAGGGATGTTTAGGGGGTCATGGTTAGCATAGTGAGTTAAACCACCAGCTACAGAAAGTCTTGCTAACCGGAAGACTGGCAGTTCAAGCTGCGGATGGGGTGAGCTTCTGCTTACCTAGCAGTTTGAAAACAGCAATGTGAGTAGATCAATAGGTACTGCTTTCATGGGGAGGTAAAATGCACCCTGAAGACATGCTGACAGGGAATCCATGGACAACAGCAGGCTCCTTGGTGTAAAAAAACGGAACAAAAGCACCTTGCCATGGTTGAGTCGAGCATAGCCTCCAGATGCTGGAAATGAAAAAAAGAAGGAAGCCTTGCCTCTATGTATCAACTGTCTTTGTTAATTGTATAATGGCATTGAATCTTTACCATAAATGTATTCTGTAATGTGCTCTGAGTCCCCTCAGTATATTATTACCACTACTACTATTACTACTACTACTATGCTTACATAATCTCTGATCAGAAGTACAGCTAAAGAACATGAAAAAATGACCTGACTAATTTCACTTAATTACTTTAGACCTGAAGCTGGTTTTTTGGAATTTGCCCGCTGTTCTACTTTTCTGGCTCTCCACAAATTCGGCTATTTGAAAACATATATCCCACTTCTATCAATCATATATGAGGTAAGCACTTCATTTTAGTGGTTTATTTTTCCTGCGTTAGTTTGTGTGTGTGGTGACTAAATGTGAAGATGTTTTAGGACCATAGAAAACTGGCATTCATTATAAACCAGATGTGATACTATAAAATTTATATTTACAGATAAGCGAAGTACTGGGGATGTGTCTAAACTGTCAAGGAAGAAGAGTCTTACATAATTTGCCCTTAAACTTTTAAACTGATGATAGGGAATTTATTTTTCACTATTTTCCTAATGAACCCAACTCAGTGTGTGCAATTTTTATGCTCCTTTTCCCCCATATCTTCTCCCATTTTATCTTCACAACAGCAGTAAAAGAAGGGTTGAGAGATTGTTTGGACCGTCTGGAAGTCACAGATTGAATTTAACTGCTGAATGGGAATTTTTACATGATTTTCCTTTGGCTTATTCTATTCCTTTTGCCAAGTCTTTCTCAATCCAGTTTGCTTCATAAGTGTTGAATTGCAACTCACACCAGTCACAACCATCACAGCTAGAGAGGACCAAGTTGAAGAAAACTGCTCTAACCATTATATATGGCACTAGTTAACTTTCAGTTCAAAGCACCATATTGAGATGTATTCTTGAATGTCTATGGATTTGATCGTTTCATAATATGTTTCCTTCCTCAACTTTCAAGTCAAAAGATATAGGCAAAAGGAAACTATGTGCTACTGAAACAGGGACAGTTCAATTGTGTCCAACATAGAGCAGCCATATTTTTCTCCACTCTTGCAACAAGTTCTCCTATGATGTACAAATTTGTACATTGTAATTTGAAAGAAGTACTGTACATAGGAACCACAGTTACCTGGGTAGTTCATAAACATATTTGACCAGAGAACAGTCACCAATTTGAGAGAAGAAACTTGAACATATATCATGAAAAACAGTGGTTCTATCATTAATTTTGAATCCTAGGGTTAGTGTCTTCTATGTGCATTCTAATAGGGCCAATCCTATTGTTAGGTAGAATAAGGCAGCTACTACACATTTAAAGAGTCATAAAAGAGCAACAAATTGTCAGCTGTTTACTAAGATTTTATTGTACTTTTCCATCAGGAATAGGGAGAGAGCACTTGTGGAATTTCATGCCTTGTCTTCAATGCCCTGTCTAGGCGCTATGCACCTAGACTGCTATTTGTGCTAAGAAAGGAAAATATCTTGACGGTATGCTTGGATCTATTTCACAAGGTAGACTTCCGTATCTTGAGCATTGCCTGAAGTTTCCAGCAGTGTTCCACAGTAAATCAAAGAAATTTCATACCACTTCATAGCCAAGCCTAACCTCCAGGCTACATCATCTAAAAGAGAAAGAGGAAATTCTCTGAAATTCTTCTTATTACTATTATTAGTATTTATATCCCACTTTTTCTCTGCCAAATAAAGACTCAAAGTAGTTCAAAGGAGGCTCAAAGTAACTAAAGAGAGTGAGGGAGTGATGGTTAGAAACCCCTACAAAACTTTGTATTAGACAGCTGTGTTAGCATTCATAGATTTAAACAAAATCATGTTGAATGCCTAATATTAATTTGTGAAGTTATCTTAAAATAATAATCTGCTGCATTATACACATAAGGTGGACCCATTGGCCATGATAAGAGCCCTGGGGCATTAATATCATTGGAAAAAGTCATATTTGAACCTTGCATTCAATGGAGTAAGTTAGTTTCCACTTAGGTGTGACAGAGTCATTACCGATGTTAGCCTTAGTTGGTGTGTGAGCTGGCTTCACCACCACCAACTAAAGATGATGATGTATGGTTCCAGATGCTTTTGCCAATTGACCGTAAAATTGCTGTGCATTTCTGGCAGGGCAGCCAAGTTAGAGCTTTTAAAATAGCCATGCCTGAAGTTCAGAGCCCACCGTTTGGAAGCTGCTCATTATTCTTCTCCTGCCCCCTGATCTGTGCAAAAGAAAGACTTCTGGAATCAATTAGAAATGTCTGCCCATGATGAGATTTGCACGTGAGTTTGGAATTGTGAGGCTTTGATAGTGTCAGCCAACAGCTGCAGTTTCAGGTGGTAAAATCAAGGGAAGAATTTTTACAGGCCTTAATTACAATCAGAAAGTATATATTTATAACTATTTGAGGAAGAGAAAAACAAGTCAGGTTGGAAACTGTCAAGTATATCGTCCAAGATGAGACTTAAAATCTGTTTCATCACAGGAAAAATAAATAAAGCAACTATTGTTTGGATTTCATAGTTCTTAGACTGCACCGAGTGGTTATGTGAAACTAGAAATTATGATGTTGTCTGTAGTTATTGCTACAAAAGGAACATCTGACAACATTCATGTCATTTCTGTTTGATGAATCAAAGCAATAATAAACGAAGATATAACATGGCGTACAAATGCAGAATACAAATTTACCCAGATAGATATAATAATCTGATACAAATATTTTTCCAGCATTCCAAGTATTTACATATTTGTATATATTTTACAATAAATAAGGAATTGTAGAAACTATTTTGTGTTCTAGTTTTCTAATGATTTATTAAGAAGTTCCTATCCCGTCATGATTGCCGTAAATAACAACTGTGCGAGAGAATGCATCAAATCTATATGTGTTATGAAAAACAGGTAAGTATTTCATACATGCTCCATATAAAAGTATAATCTTCCCCTCTTTCACATTCTGAAAAATCAGCATCCATTCTTTCCCATAACATTTTAATAAGTAGGAAAAATGTACATAGAAGCTGCTTTATGGATCAGATAATATTGGAAATAATACCTTTTCAGTTTTCTCTGATGATTTAAAATGCCACTACAAAGCCTACTAGAACTTTTTAGGATGGAATATCTCTTCAAAATATACTGTCAAAGTTTCATTGCAGAAACTCTCAAAATAGTATTCACATATTTTAGAAAGTAGTAAAATAACCACTTCACTGCTATTCTCGCCATGTTTTTTTTTTGGTGAAATTACATTGAAAAGAATTTTGGGAAAATACTGAAGTATTGTACAAAACCCAGAAAATTCCAAAATACAAAAAAAAATCAGCTAAAATTCACAAAACAGAATCCTCTCTAGCGAGTAGTTATTACTGTTTGTTCATGAGATGAAAAAAAAAGTTAAGATTATCACTAGTTTTAAATATTCAATGTGTAACATGCAGCCTTTGTTTGAATTGGAGAGGGAAGTACCATACTTGTATGGAATTGAAGGCTCCAGTTGAAGAGATTGGGTTTATTTTCCTATACAAACTGCAGATGAGGATCTAGAGATATTTTACATTGGGAAGCCAAAGGGATTCTGATCAGGATCAGGCCCTCCATGCTTCATTTTGAGGTTTTTTTTTTTTAAAAAGCATTGGCATAATTAGCTGCTACTTAGACAGTTTTCCCCTGAGGTATGTAGTACAAAGCAGGAGAGAGAAGTAGTGTTTCATCTCATTTGAATAACATTGCAGTAGTTGGCTTTGGAGTGACATTCATGCTGTATTCTGCTCATTCATGCACAAATAATATTTGCTCACAACCTCCCAGGAGATTACATTGAGTAAGGAATATAGTATGCTGAATTTTCTGGTAGAGTTTACTTTTGAATCTACTTAATAGTAAAAGTTTCAGTCTTTAAAATGCTGATTGTTCTCCCTTATCCCCAAATAATTTTCATAGCACTATGAAGCATCGCATTTGTTAAGTATCCCATTTGTGGTTTGCTGTGAGTTTTCCGGGCTGTATGGCCATGCTCCAGAAGCATTATCTCCTGACGTTTTGCCCACATCTATGGCAGGCATCCTCAGAGGTTGAGGGGTCTGTTGGAAACTGGGCAAGAGAGGTTTATATATCTTCTGGAACATGACCATACAACCTGGAAAACTCACAGCAACCCAGTGATTCCGGCCATGGAAACCTTCGACAGCACATTATCTCATTTGTGTCTCTCTGAGTATGCCTAAATCTCACCATTTGCTCTTAGCTGTATGAAATGGTAGGGTCATACTGAAAATTCCACTATATGTTCCTATTAGAAATTGCCTTGCAGCAGTCTGTCATCTTGATTTGCACTCATATCCCTAAAAGGGGTGGAATTTAGGTCTAATTCCCTTGTTTGCTTTTGATGTGGTAACGTTATGATGAGATTATTTCACCTCATCAGTTTCATACAGTGCCGATTATGGGCACCTCTCCATGTGATGACAGCTGGAACCTTCCATGTCAGTCATCCTGTCAGTTGTCAAGGCATGGAAAGTATCACCTATCATCACATGGGGATGGTTGGGCACGGATTTTCACACTGTGAAATTAATGAGGCAAAATCACCTTGTGATAACTTTACCACATCAATTGTGAGCATATGAACTGGACCGTGGGCAGCAGCAATCAGGCCTCATGGACTCATTTCAATGTAATTGTTGTAATTTCAGAGTGACATTGTTTGAACAGTTAAAACCTGGATATTAGCTTTTTGCTTTCGTTTCATGACATAATTTGGGTTTTCTTTTCACATTTTGCAGAATATTTTTCTTGTTAGGTTATGCAGTTCTATCATTTTTCTCCACCTGCTTTAAGAAAAAAAATCTGTTTTTAATTTTTATTTCATGTCAATTTTTAAATGACTATTTTGCTAGTTTCTAAGAACCAGTTATACTTTATAGCTTTGGAGATCTATCAGGCGTTACAATACTTTTTTTTGTGGAGGGTGTCCTTTAGACTGTTTTTAAAAACAAAAGCACTGTGCCAAATCTTTAGTAATAACTGTCATGCCTTGATTTTTACAAAGAGCTTATCTGCGTTATTATACATTTTAGGGGACCTCTCTTTTTATTGTTCTTTTCCTGTTTTGTTTTTCGATTTGTTTAACTGGATGTATTTTATGGTTTTTATGGTTTTTATTGTTTTATTTATTTTATGGTTTTTATTGTTTTATTGTGCTGTTTCAGAGGAAGCCAAAACCACCTCTGAGTATTCTTTGCCTAAGAAATTCATGGAGTCACCATAGGTCAAAAATTAATGTAAAGGCAGAT